ATAAATTAGCCAGGCATGGTGGTGTGTGGCTATATTCTAGCTACTCAGGTAGCTTAGGCAGGAGGATCATTTGAGCCCAAGAGTTCAAGGTTACGGTGAGCTGTGATCATGCTGCTGCACTCCAGCTTGTGCAACAGAGCAAGACCTTGTCTGAAAGGAAGAAAGAGAGAAAGAAAGAAGGGGAGAGAGAGAGAGAGAGAGAAAGAGAAAGAAAAAGAAAGGAAGAGAGAAAGAAAGAAAGAAATGCTTAGACTAGACATTCTTGTCATGTTCCAAATAAGATCTTTCCTTATCCTATTTGGAAGAAAGCATTCAGACTTTCACCATTAAATATGATGCTCCAATATCTTCATAAATACCCTTTTATTAGCATGAAGTAGTTCTCTTTCATTCCTAGCTTATTTTGAGTGTTTTTCTTCATGAGTAGATGTTAGATTTAGTGAAATACTTTTTTGCATCCATTGAGATGATCCTCAGTAAGATTTTCTGTTTCTTCTTCCGTCAGCTTGTGTTTTTCTAGGAATTTTTTCATATCACCTACTTTTTCTAATTTATTGGCATAAAGTTCATAATATTCCCTCATAACACTTTTAACTTCTCTGGGGTCAGTACCTATTTGATAGAATTCATGAGTAAGACCATTTAGCTTTGTGCTTTCTTTTTTGGAAGATTTTTAATTATCAAGCATTTTAATAGCTGTAGAGATACTCAGGCTACCTTTTTTCCTCATGTGAGTTTTGGTTGTTTGTGTCTTTCAAGGAATTGATCTATTTCATCTTTGTTAACAAATTTGCGGGGATGCACTTATTCATAATATTACTTTATTTATTTAATTATTTTTTCAAACAGAGTCTTGCTCTGTCGACCAGGAGTGCAGTGGCTTGATCTTGGATCACTGCAATCTCTGCCTCCCGGGTTCAAGTGATTCTCCTGCCTCATCCTCCAGAGTCGCTGGGATTACAGACAAGCATTACCACATCTGGCTAATTTTTGTATATTTAGTAGAGACAGGGTTTTACCATGTTGGCCAGGCTGGTCTCAAACTCCTGACCTCAGGTGATCTGCCTGCCTCAGCCTCCCAAAGTGCTGATATTACAAACATAAGCCACCACGCCTGGCCTGCCCTCATTTTTCTGATGGGTCTAAGAAAACTTGTAAATTTTAGTTTTTCCAACATTTTCCTATTTCCTACTGTGAGGATAAGAGTGATAACTTTTTTTTTTTTTTTTTTTTTTGAGACTGAGTCTTGCTCTGTTGCCCAGGCTGGAGTGCATTGGTGTAATCTTAGCTCACTGCAGCCCCCACCTCCTGGACTGAGCAATTCTCATGCTTCAGCCTCCCAAGTAGCTGAGATTACAGGCGCCTGCCATGATGTCTGGCTAATTTTTTAATTTTTATTTTTAGTAGAGATGAGTTTCCACTGTGTTGGCCAGGCTGATCTCCAATTCCTGACCTCAAGTGATCCACCTGCCTCAGCCTCTCAAAGTGCTGGGATTATAGGCGTGAGCCACCACACCCAGCTGGGAGTGACACCTTCTAAGCTCTTTACATGTCAGAGTCAAAACTGAAGTTCCTATGTTGATTTTTTACCTATATATGTAAAACATGTGCGTGTATACACACACACACACACACACACACACACACGTATATTTTTAAATATTTTTAAAATTTATTTTTCAGTGGTTGTTCTGTGTTCCTTTAACTGATCACCATCTGCTTCAGGTTAATACTGACTCAGTTCCAGTAGTTGCTGGAAGGTTAAATATTGCAACTTGCTCTAATAGAATTCCATTTTCTACTCCTATCTTTGGGCTGTTAGTGCCATTCGGTTGTGTGTGTGTGTGTGTCTGTATATATATACATATATATATGCATATATATTTGTTGTAATCCCAATAATATGTTTTATGATTTTACATTGAAAATCATTGCTTCTTTAAAAATAAAGAGTAGAAAATAAATTGTTTTAAAATTTATTTTCTGGCCAAGCGTGGTGGAAACTACAGTGAGCTAAGATTGCGCCCTTGCACTCTCCAGCCTTGCTGGCAGAACAACAACAACAAAATCCACCAGGCATAGTGGCTCACTTCTATAAATCCCAGCACTTTGGGAGCCTGGGGCAGGTGGATCACTTGAGCCCAGGAGTTTAAGTCCAGCCTGGGCAACAAGGTGAAACCCCATCTTTATATAAAAAAGAAATTAGTCATGTGTGGTGGCACATGCCTGTAGTCCCAGCTACTTGGAAAGCTGAACTGAAGGATCATTGGATCTCAGGAGGTTGAGGCTGCAGTAAGCCATGATTGTACCACTGCAGTCCAGCCTGGGTGGCAGAGCAAGACCTTGTCTTTAAATGAATGAATGTATGAATAAATCAGTCATGCCTACTAGATAAAGCCTACATAAAATTCCTGGAACTATGAGGTTTGGAGAACTTCTGGGTTGCTGAACACTTGGAAAGAGAAGGCCTGGAAACTCTGCCCCTTCCCCAGTATCTTTCCCTAGACATCTCTTTCATTTGCCTCTTCCTGAGTTGTATCCTTTTATTAAAAATGAGTAAATATTACAGGCTTATGCCTGTAATCCCAACACTTTGGGAGACCGAGGCAGGCGGATCACGAGATCAAGAGATTGAGACCATCCAGGTCAACGTGGTGAAACCCCGTCTCTACTAAAAATACAAAAATCAGCTGGGCGTGATGGCGCGCCTGTAGTCCCAGCTCCTCGGGAGACTGAGGCAGGAGAATTGCTTGAACCCTGGAGATGGAGGTTGTGGTAAGCCGAGATCGTGCCATTGCACTCCAGCCTGGCAACAAGAGCGAAACTCCATCTCAAAAAAAGAAAGGCGGGGTGTGAACAATAAGTAAAGTATTTCTCTGATTACTGTGGGAGGCGTTCAGTGGTCAAACCTGAGGAGGGGGTTGAAGGAACCCCCAATTTATAGCTGATTGGTCAGAAATGTGGGAGGCCTGGACTTAGGATTAGCACCTAAGTGGGGACGGTCTTGTGGGATTGAGTCTGTAACCTGCGGGATCTAATGCTAACTCCAGGCAGATAATGTAGAATTGAATTATAGGACACATAAGTGGTGGTGGAGAATTGGTCAGTGTAGGAAAACCCCACACATTTGGTGACTACGGAGTGTTGTGAGAGTATAGGAGTAAACAGTTTTTCTGGTTTGTTTGTTTGTTTTTTGGTACACATAGTCTCTCTTTTCTTTTATCAGAAGCTTTGTGTTATTTCCTTCTTCATGCTTTTCTCTTCATTGTAGTTCCTTCTGTTACCTGCTCTGTGAAGCCATTCTTGGTTTCTCCTCTTCTTCACTACTTTCTAAAGAGCTGGACTATTTCTGTCTTTAATATAGCTTATTATAAATTAAAATTATAGATATAGTTCCCTTAACTACATCTTGGCTATATCAGAACTTTCCTATTGTTTTTAGTTGTAAGAAAAGTCTCGTTTTTGGTAATTAAGACTTAGTCTTACCCATTTTTAAAAACTTCATGTAAAATTCATTCTTCTTGTAGGTAATGGTGGGTGAGGCTGTCTGACAAAAGGCAGACATATTATTAAGCTGGGTGAAGTCATCTTATTTTAGGCTGTGGCTTCCTCTCTAACACTGAATGTTCATCATGCCTTATTGTCAGGCATTTAAATTTTGTTTCATTGCCATGTGTAGATTCTTCCTGGTTCAGTCTGTTGGCAGCTACTGGCAACTCTGTGAACTTAAGAGTATGTAGTAATCAGCATCTTTTGTGCTTAATTTAAGCCTGAGGTAAAATTGGGCCTACAGGAAATTTTCATTTAATGTCCTTTGAAATTTATTTTGAAGTCAGCATCTCACAGAAAAAGAATCGGTCTTCTGGAAGAGCATATTATGTCATGTAGATATTAAAGAGCACCTTTCAGTGCACAGGTTTCATACCCATAATGTTAGATCTGCATTTTAAAGTAATATAGCCATTTAGGGACCTACATCGTAGCATATCTGTATTCTAGAAACACTTCAGATGTCTTATTTAAATGTAAATTAATTTAAATATACATTAATGAAACTTAAATAAAATAAGAAATTCAGTTCCTGAGTCACAGTAGCCACATTTGAAGTACTTAATTAGCCATCTGTGGCCAGTGGCTACTGTATTGGATAGCACAGACATTTTGATGATTGAAGAAAGTGCTTCTTTAGCGGGTAGAGGTAAGAAATTTTTCTTACCATAAGAAAGTCAGATACATGGAGTCAATCATGTACACCAACTAGGTACTCTATTTCACAGTCTTTTTTTTTTCTTGCCCATGTGAGGAAAGTTTGTGAAAGGGAGAAAAGTTGCCACACACCTGTACAAGATACTGCTTTCAAATTCATCTGATATTTAGCTCTTTGAAAGTGTCAGACAACTGCTAGTACAAACATCAGTTTTGCAGCAGGATTAAGACTTCAAATATTTCCACCCACCAGAGACAACCATCTTGTTCATCCATCCTATTTTCTTTTCTACTGTTCCCTCATTCCTTGAGTCCTTAGGTCCGAAGGGCTGGCACAACTTTGGTTGACAAGGTAAGGCCTGGGATGAGTTGAAAAGCAAATGTTTTTATGTATGTGTTGGTGTGCGTGTGTAGATTTTGAGAGAAGTGGCTTAACTCCTAGAATAATAAATTTTTATTATTTTTTCTTCTGAGCCCTTAGATATCATCTAATTGAATGCCTGCCCACATTTTACATATAATTAAACTGAGGTCGGAGAAAGTGATTGCCTAAGTTCATATAGCTAATGGTAGATCTGGGACTAAAATCTTTGTTCCGTGACTCCAACACCAGTGGTTATTATCCTGAATGGTTTACCTTTCCCATTTAATTCATGATTAACTGCTATCTATTGTTACAGATACAATGGCAACAGTTTAGAGGCATGAATAATTAATTATTGTAATGAATTTCTCATTTAAAGAAATGTTGCTTTTATGTATTTTAAAGAATTTGGTAATGGCAATTTTTATAGATTGAAGAAGAAGAGAGGAAAAAAATAGAAGATATGAAAGAAAATGAACGGATAAAAGCCACTAAAGAATTGGAAGCCTGGAAAGAATATCAAAGAAAAGCTGAGGAGCAAAAAAAAATTGAGAGGGAAGAGAAATTATGTCAAAAAGAAAAGCAAATTAAAGAAGAAAGAAAAAAATTAAAATCTAAGAGTCTTACTAGAAATTCAGCATCTAGAAATCTTGCAGCAAAAGGTAAAATGATTAAGATTTTCTGGAAAAGTGAGTCCTGTTGGTGAAGTATATATGACACTTTTTTTTTTTTTTTTGTAAATCTGTTCACAGCATTAGGTTACTATTTTGGCATATTGAGAATAAGCAATGTAATACAAAGACTAAAGTAAAAGATATTTCTTCTTTTGGGGGTAATGAAGTTTTTCTAGTAAAATGAGCAAGCATTCATTCAAGGATTCAAAAAGAAGAGTGTCTTCTTTGCTTGAGTGCTTTCTCTTGAAATTTATAGAGATGTTGTTAAATAAGTGCTTAACTCAGGCCCAAAAAGACTTAGAGTTGACTAGCAGTGTTAGAAGCATTCATTTATTCTATTAGAGATAAGACACTGGGAATTTCATTAAAAGACCTTTTCTTCACATCACTTAGGAAAATGAATACTATAAGCAGACTTACTCTACAGCAAATAAGGGTTGCTTCTAGCTTTCAATCTTAATGTGTTCAAAAATATATAATAATTGTTATTATTACTATTGTTGAGACAAGGTCTGGCTCTGTTGCCCAGGCTGGAGTGTAATGGTGTAATCTCAGCTCACTGCAACCTCTGCCTCCCCAGCTCAAGCCATCCTCCCTCAACCTCCCAAGTAGCTGGGACTATAGGCATGCACCTCAGTGTACAGCTAATTTTTTTTTTGTATTTTTTGTAGAGATGAGGTTTTGCCCTGTTGCCCAGGCTGGTCTTGAACTCAGGAACTTAAGTCTGCCTGCCTCAGCCTCCCAAAGTGCTGGGATTGTAGGCATGAGCCACCATGTCCGGCTGATACAAATATAATTCTGGTTTTTGTGTGTGTGTGTGTGTGTGTTTTCAAAATTATTATTTCAGTAGTTTGGGGGGAACAGGTGGTGTTTGATTGTAGGTATACGTTCTTTAGTGGTCATTTCTGAGATTCTGGTGGACCCATCACCCAAGCAGTGTACACTGCACCAAATGCATAGTCTTTTATCCCTCACCCCACACCCTTCCCCCTGAGTCCCCGGGTCCATTATATCATTCTTATGCCTTTGCGTCCTCATAGCTTAGCTCTCATTTATAAGTGAGAACATATGGTATTTGTTTTTCCATTCCTGAGTTACTTCATATAGAATAATCATCTCTAATTCCATCCAGGTTGCTGAGAATGCCATTATTTTTTTTCCTTTTTATGGCTTAGTATTCCATGGGGTGTGTGTGTGTGTGTGTGTGTGTGTGTGTGTGTATAGTATTGCATAGTTTATATATACCACATTTGTATGTGTGTGTGTATATATATATATATATATATATATACACACACACACACACACACACATATATATATATATATACCACATTTTCTTTATTTACTCATTAGTTGATGGGCATTTAGGCTAGTTCCATGTTTTTACAACTGCAATTGTGCTGCTAAAAACATGAGTGTGCAAGTGTCTAATGACTTCTTTTCCTCTGAGTAGATACTCAGTAGTGGGATTGCTGAATCAAATGGTAGTTCTACTTTTAGTTCTTTAAGGAACCTCGACACTGTTTTCCATAGTGGTTGTACTAGTTTACATTCCCACCAGCAGTGTAAAAGTGCCCCTTTTTACCATATCTACACCAACATCTGTTGTTTTTTTATTTTTAAATTATGTTCATAGTAGGAATAAGGTGATTTTACCTTGTGGTTTTGATTTGCATTTCCCTAATAATTAGTGATGTTGAGTATTTTTTCATATGTTTGTTGGACATTTGTTTGTTTATTTTTTCTGAGACAGTTTCGCTCTTGTTGCTCAGGCTGGAGCATAATGGTGCAATCTCAGCTCACTGCAACCTCTGCCTCTCAGGTTCAAGCTATTCTCCTGCCCCAGCCTCCCAAGTAGCTGGGATTACGGGTATGTGCCACCACGCCTGGGTAATTTTGTATTTTTAGTAGAGACACGGTTTCTCCATATTGGTCAAGCTAGTCTCAAACTCCAGACCTCAGGTGATCTGCCTGCCTCAGCTTCCCAAAGTGCTGGGATTGCAGGCGTGAGCCACCATGCCTGGCTGGACATGTGTTTATCTTCTTTTGAGAATTGTCTATTCATGTCTTTAGCCTACTTTTTGATGGGATTGTTTGTTTTGTTCTTGCTGATTTGTTTGAGTTCCCTGTAGATTCTGGATATTAGACCTTTGTCAGATGCATAGTTTGTGAAGATTTTCTCCCACTTTGTGTGTTGTCTGTTTGCTGATTATTTCTTTTGCTGTGAGAAGGTGTTTAGTTTAATTAAGTACCATCTATTTATCTTTGTTTTTGTTGCATTTGCTTTTGGTTTCTTGGTCATGAAGTCTTTGCTTAAGCCAGTGTTAGAAGGGTTTTTCCCAGTGTTATCTTCTAGAATGTTTATGGTTTCAGGTCTTAGGTTTAAGTCTTTGATCCATCTTGAGTTGATTTTTGTGTTAGGGGAGAGAAGAGGATCCAGTTTCATTCCCCTACATGTGGTTTGCCAATTATCTCAGCACCATTTGTTGAACAGGTCATCCTTTCCTCACTTTGTGTTTTTGTTTGCTTTGTCAAAGATTGGTTGCGTGTAAGTATCTGGCTTTAATTTTGGGTTTTCTATTCTGTTCCATTGGTCTGTGTGCTGTTTTTATACTAATACCATGCCGTTTTGGTAACTACAGCTTTGTACTATAGTTTGAAGTCAGGTAATGTGATCCCTTTAGATTTGTTGTTTTTGCTTAATCTTCCTTTGGCTCTGTGGGCTCTTTTTTTTTGTTCCATATGAATTTTAGGATTGTTTTTCTAGTTCTGTGAAGAATGATGATAATATTTTGATGGGAATTGCATTGAATTTGTAGATTGCTTTTGGCAGTATGGTCATTTTCACAATATTGATTCTACCCATCTATGAGCATGGGATGTGTTTCTATTTTTGTGTCTTCTATGATTTCTTTCAGCAGTGCTTTGTAGTTTTCCTTGTGACATCTTTCACCTCTTTAGTTAGGTATATGCCTAAATATTTTGTTTTTTTGAAGCTATTGTAAAAGGGATTGAGTTCTTGATTTGATTCTCAGCTTGGTCGTTGGTGTCTAGTAGTGCTACTGATTTGTGTACATTGATTTTGTATCCTGAAACTTTGCTGAATTCATTTATCAGTTCTAGGAGCTTTTTGGATAAGTCTTTAGGGTTTTTTAGGTATATGATCATATAATTGGTGAGCAGTAACAGCTTGACGACTTCTTTACTGATTTAGATGCTCTCTATTTCTTTCTCTTGTCTGATCGCTCTGGCTAGGACCATAGAGTTGGCGAAAGTGGACATCCTTGTCTTGTTCCAGTTCTCAGGGGAAATACTCAGCTTTTCACTGTTCAATATAATGTTGGCCGTGGGTTTGTCATAGATGGCTTATATTACTTTAAGTTATGTCCCTTCTATGCCCATTTTGCTGAGGGTTTTAATCATAAAGTGATGCTGGATTTTGTAATCAAATGCTTTTTTTTTGTTTTTTGAGACAGCCTCACTCTGTTGCTTAGGCTGAAGTGCAGGGGCATGATCTTGGCTCACTGCAACCTCTGCCTCCCAAATTCAAGCTATTCTCCTGCCCCAGCCTCCCTAGTAGCTGGGATTACAGGCATGCATCACTACACCTTGCTAAGTTTTTGTGTTTTTTAGTAGAGACTGGGTTTTGCCATATTAGCCGGCTGGTCTCATACTCCTGACCTTAAATGATCCACCTACCTCAGCCTCGCAAATGCTGGGATTACAGGCATGAGTCACCATGCCTGGCTTCAAATGCTTTTTCTGCATTTATTGAGGTGATCATATGATTTTTGTTTTTACTTCTGTTTATGGGGTGTATTATGTTTATTGACTTGGGTATATTAAACCAGCCCTGCATCCCTGATATGAAACCCACTTAATCATGGTGTATTACCTTTTTGATATGCTGTTGCATTTGGTTGGCTAATAATTGGTTGAGGATTGTTGCGTCTGTGTTCATCAGGGATATTGGTCTGAAGTTTTCTCTTTTTTGTTATGTCCTTTCCTGGTTTTGGTACTAGGGTAGACTTGCCTTTTTTTTTTTTTTTTTTTTTTTTTTTGATGGAGTTTTACTCTTGTGACCCAGGCTAGAGTGCAGTGGCGCAGTCTCGGCTCACTGCAACCTCTGCCTTTCAGGTTCAAGCAGTTCTCCTGCGTCTCGAGTAGTTGGGATTACAGGTGCCCGCCATCATGCCCAGCTAAGTTTTTGTATTTTTGGTAGAGACGGGTTTCACCATGTTTGGCAGGCGAGTCTTGAACTCCTGACCTCAGGTGATCTGCCTCCCAAATTGCTGGGATTACAGGCTTGAGCCACTGCGTCTGGCCTTAGTACTGGCTTTATAAAATGATTTAGGGAGGATTTCTCCCTTACCTTTTGGAATAGTTTTAGTAGGATTGGTACCAGTTCTCTTTGAATGTCCATTACAATTTGGCTGTTGGGCCAGGCGCATGGCTCACACCTGTAATCTCAGCACTTTGGGAGGCCAAGGCAGGCGGATCACCTGAGGTCAGGAGTTCGAGACCAACCTGGCCAACATGGTGAAACCACATCTAACTAAAAATACAAAAATTAGCAAGGTGTGGTGGTGCGCACCTGTAATCCCATCTACTCAGGAAACTGAGGCAGGAGAATTGCTTGAACCCGTTGGTGGAAGTTTCATTGAGCCGAGATCTTGCCACTGCATTCCAGCCTGGGGACAGCAGAGCAAGACCCTGTCTAAAAAGAAAAAAAAATTCATTTGTGAAGCCGTCTGGTCTGGACATTTTTTAATTGGCAATTTTAAAATTACTGATTCAATCTCGTTACTTGTTATTCGTCTATTCAGAATTTCTATTTCTTCCTGGCTTCATCTGGAAGGGTTGTTATTTCCCTCTTCTAGGTTTAGGAATTTATCTGTCTCTTCTAGGTTTTCTAGTTTATGTGCATAAAGGCATTCATAGTAGTTTTGAATGATCTTTTATATCTCTGTGGTATTGGTTGTAATA